CATCCCTACTTTGACTTTCAGTTTGACTTATAGGACAGACCAGACTTAATTAAAGGAATGATTGTGCAAGTTGTAGTTTCAATTTTATTGGTTTGACTGAAAGCACATTGTGGTGTTGCATCTGGGGAAGGATGAGAGGAAGGCAGTATTGCTTGTTTGACTGGGTCAACCAAAGTTTGGGAGAGTCTCCATAAGATTGAAGGGTCCAGTGCTATATTTATCTTTTGATTGTCTGAAAGACTAGATAGGTTCCCATAAGATTGAGTGGTCTGGTTGCTTTGACTTATGAGGGCTGCATATGTTTGACTTTTAGGGACCAAGCATTTTTCCATAAGATTGGATGACTTGGTTTTTCTTGTGTTTTATTAATTCTGAAGGAGAGTTGGGCACGTTCCATAAGATTGGATGACCCTGACTCTCTCTTGCTTTATTTTAAAGGTCAGAAATCGAGGCGAAAGACTGAACAGGTTCCCATAAGATTGGGTGCTCTGGTCTGGAGCCACGCACATGCTGGAACAAAAGCGCTAAATCTGTTTATATCTTATATTACGTACTTATGAACAGGCTAGTCAGATATTTTTCCATAATATTGGATGGTCTGACTATAGCTTATCACCAACTAAAGAGAGTATAGATTAAGAATAAAATTGTGGTTAGAAGGGACATGCTGAATCTTGATCTAAGATGAACGGTTCAGTCATATGTTGTCTTAAAAGATAAAGTGCAGACAATTATATATAACCTGAATACTTAAATGGTTGAGGACGACTAGGCTGGCTAACCTAGTCGTGTGCCCAAAAAATAAAAAAATTATAGTGCCCTGTGTTTGTGTATATTCTATGGCTGAGCTAGACAGGTTCCCATAAGATTGGGTGGTCTAGTTTTATGCCTTATGTAAGCTGGGTATAAAGGGGATAAATCATTGACAGATCATGAACTATTGTTTCATAAGGTTAGCTTTGGGATGATGAGAGTACTTACCTTTGTGGTTTGACCTGCATGTGGCTGAGAAAGACGACTACTTAGTCTGAGTTTCAGTTCGATAGGTAGTTGCTTTAGTTGCTCGCTACGTGCTAGAGCCATAGAAGTTACTTTCAATTCCTGCATTTTCTAAGCTAAGTTTATTTTACGTAGGTCAATTTCTTCATTTTCTGGTATCTTTTGTTATACTTGGGTTTGTATAAATGTTGGTAACCTACTTTCTCTACGGGAAGCGTTACCGAAATTTCTACAAAACCAAGGAGTTAGTCAAATTTTGTCTTTTCAAAGTTTAACTTGTTCGACTTTTATATATGACTTAGTAAAAATCTGGAGAGTCTCATTTTTTAAAGGAAGTGCTGCCCGAATTTTTGCTAATTCAGGGAGTTCGATAAAATTGGAGAGTCACTTTAGATTATGAACTTAGCTTTGTATAAATCTTGGATTACACTTTTCTATAGGGAGTGCTGCCAAACTTTGTACAAATCTAAGGAGTTAGTTAAAATATATCTTAATTGAACTCAAGTTTTGCTCTGGGTTCATATATGACTCAGTAAAAATCTGGAAAGTCTTCTTTTCTAAATGGAGTGTTGCCCAAATTTTTACGAATTCAGGGAGTTAGACGAAATTTGACTTTTCAAAATTAGAGTTTGGTTTTTGTTTTCATATTTGAGTTATTATAAATTCTGAGAAGACACTTTTCCTACGGGAAGCGCTGCCGAAATTTCTACAAATCTAAGGGGTTTGTTAAACTTTGTCTTAAGTTGAACTCAAGTCTGACTTCTGAGTTCTTGTCTGACTTAGTATAAATCTGGGAAATTTACTCTTCTAAAGGAGATGATGCTCAAATTTTTACTAATTCAGAGAGTTGGACAAAATTTAACTTCCCAAAGTTAAATATTATTTTTGGTCTCATATCTGAGTTAGTATAAATTATGAGAAGGCACCTTTCCTACTGGAGACGCTGCCGAATTTTTCTTACTTTCATGAAGTTAGATTATATTTTGACAGGTGGCGACTCTAACAATCCACCCTGAATAAGGGAGATGCTGCGATAGGTCTGCCTTGCGTTGGGCACTGACTTAGGGGTAGACTCAGACTTAGTTAAGTATAATGATTCTTGGTGAAATCGTGATATGGAGATTACTCTCAATTTGGACTCCTAAAATTAACTTGGGGATTGACCTATCTTGTGTTAGAGGTCATATTGAACGTTTGATTCTAAACCAGGACTAGATTCAACTTGATCCTACAAGGATCACCTTCTATTATCATTGATAACAGGTCGGTTGTCGATTCGTCGGTCTATGACTCAACTCCAATTCATCCTCAAATACTCAACCTAAATAGACTTTAGCCCTAATGATTTTTGTTGTTTTATTAAGATTTTCCCCCGGACTTTTATTGAATAGCCATTTAACAAAGGTACTGAGTATTTAATTATGGAAGGTTGAACAAAGGCTGGGGCTTGCATGACCAAAGCGATGGGTATGAGTGTAGAGATTGGTTGAAGTTGACTCCGTGTAGTGCGTGAATTTTTAGTTGACTCTTTGATGTGATTGCAGATATGTTCTGTGGTTCGGATTTGGGATTTGACTGTCTGCGATCACACACATATATATGGTTGCGAGGAGCCCCACTGTGATTGTGAGAAGTAATCGTCACATACTTATTCCCCCTTTACATATATACATGTATATACCTATGTTGGGTGTTCGCATGGTCTGAGAGGTCTACGCTTAAGGGTTTAATTGAGATTGAGATTGAGAAAGGAAAGAAAACCTCGTTGTTTTTTTTTTTTTGAATGCTTCTTAAATATTTCTTAGTTGGAAATTGGTCCTGGGCCTGGATTCAAGGTCCTTGTCCAGGACATCCTTGGTCCCAGACTCTGCATGGAAGGGATCAACCCCCGCACAGAGCCTATCTGCCCTGCCTACTGTAACACTCGGCTTAAAGGCCGGAGGTGCCGCGGAGGCCGCGCGGCTGTTCGTTCAGCCGTGCAATATTGTGAAGGGGTAGACCTTCACGATACTTTGAATCTGACACTTGAGTGTCATAGGCGGTTCTCAAATCCACGAGGAACCGCTTGAATATGGACACTACATAGTACGTCATCATCACGACTGGTTGCGTATTCATGCATTGCTAGTCGATATGAGAAGGTTCCGCGTCCGCGCGATTTTATACTAAGTCTCGCACGCGACGCCTATCCGATTTCCGCATCGGAGATTTATGGGATGATTACCAAGGGACTAGGAGCGTTGTCTCGTTGTTTGTCTAGTGTCATGTATGTATGTGTATGTGTGTTTTTATTTTTATGTTCTGTAGAGTGGTGTGCGCGTGGTGTGTGAGATGCGTCCTAGTCGACCGACGACGAGTCGCGCTTGGGACCTCAACCCCCCAAGGCATTGGTTCGCGTGAGGGCCCGATAGAGGCGTAAAACCGTTCGTACCCCCTATGCTACAACGAACGAGAAACGCCCTCGGCTGGTCCACCTTTGCGATTGCAGCTGATTAGCTTTCTTACTGTGGACTGGTAGCTTGGCGGAAATACGCCTATCGAAGGGAGGTGACAACTCCCGTAAGGTGGAGGTAAGTCGTGCCTCGCGTAGGCCCTATCCTGTCGTAGGGGCTCGCGAGAGGTATGGCTGGTGCACTCGGCCGGATCGACTTGCGGAAACTCCATGTGTATTCGCGATGAGGATCAAACCAACTCCTGCCTGACGCGGCTGGGAGGGTCCAGCCCCATTTCGTGTGGTGTCAGACCGATGCACTCGACACTGCAACGGTCCGTAGGAAGCATAGGTCGATTTCGTCGGGCTGCTCGTAAGCACAAGTAGCCCGAAATGACTTGACTGTCACCACTTGGCACCGAATCGAAGGGTGCGGAAGAGGAATAATACACGGTACTTCGGCACCGAAAGCGTCGCAAACGGTAAGAGTCCGCCGGTGGAAGTTGACCGTGTGATCCGCACTTGCAAGCGAAGGCATTCCCAAAATAATCCAAAATGTTGAAAGTCACCGGTTCATATGCATGAGGTGCGAAATACACCGGTACAACCTCGATGTGGCGGTTGATAAGTTGATGCGTCCTTCCATCCGCCAACTTGATCGCCGTCGGGTTTACCTTTCTCCGAATTTGTGTGTCAAGGCCAGCCTTTTGCATAAAGGCTTGGCTCATAAAATTGCGAGACCCCCCGCTATCCAGCAAAGCACTGCAGCACGCTTGCCCAACTTGGATGCAGACATAGAGGAGCGGTGCGTTGTTGTCATCGTACCGCTGCTTGCGAAACTCACGGACCACCTTGGTAACATACACAAGGATGTCCCCCAGCGTGACTTCGTCATCCGTCGGCGAAGTTGGTGGTGCATAGAAGGATAAATACGTGTGAAGATAAGCGCATAATGCTGCGCATTGCAGTCCCGAGAAGCGGCCCGTGGTTGGGAGAGGAAGCCATGCGAAATCCTCGGACGTGTATGTTGAACTCGCGCGGCGAATCCCATGAAGAACCACTTGAAAACGATAAGTTGCCGCCGCCTGACGGAGAAGATACTGCACACACATCTTGTCCTTGAGCATGAGTACCCAACGTAGGAACGAGCCGGGCAACATAGTCCTCAAACGAATAAAGAAGAGGACCATCGACTTCCGCATGTGCCTCGGAACGAAGGGCGGTCACTCGCGAAGTAACCGGCTCCGAAGGCGTCGAGAGTGTCATCGACTTACTGAGAGAAGGTTAACAGACCCCCCAATTTTCACCAGTGCACTTCTTACTAACATATTGTAAAAAAACAAAGGAAAAAAAACAAACAAACATATAAAACAGCAAGCCAAAAATGCACTTTCATGAAATTTCACCAACATTTCAATTTGTCGATTTTCACGATTTTCACCACTGCCCAAAACAACCATCTCCAGGAACCCAACAAACACCAAACTTGGCACATACAGACCTTGACAAAAAACAAAACAGGCTGAAAAAAAAAAAAAAAAAAACCACAAAAAAACATGATCCCCACACCACTTTTCAGGGTGGTGAAGGTTATCCTAGGGGTGAAAAGTGAGGGTACATGTTAACCACTGTTGTCGGGGCTAGATGCGGTGTTTGTCTTCGTCTTGCTGCGTCCTCGGCCTTTGCCGAGATGGCCACCATCCCGAGCGGCTGCGAGTCTGTCCCCTTCATTGGCAGACACGGCCTCGCTAGTTTGGTCGATTGGCGTTGCCGCCGCGACCACGACCACTTTCGATCGATGTTGATCGCTGCTCGGGCCTGTTTCAGACGAATGGTGGAGGTTCTTAGCCTCCTTGTTCGTGACAATAATCTGCGAGGCCTTGTCGAAGAGCTCCACCGGTGTTGTCAGGGTGTCCTCGACGTGAGTCAAGGCATTGCCCAACGCCGGACACAACCTCGAGATGAAGTAGTGTTTGATGACTTTGAAGCCCATTTGAATGTCTGGGACGGATGTCAAGCGTTGGTACTCGGCAATCCAGTCAACACTCGGCAGCGTGCCTTGTTCGAAGACCATCAGCTTGTCCATTGCCTTGATCTCCGACGGCTCTACTTGGAACCGCTTATGCCACGCCGCCTTTAGATCATCCCAGTTGATCTTGGTATGCAAGTCGGCAGCCACCACTTCGTACTTGGACAGGAGATTGTCCAGCCATGCTTGGCATGCGCCCCCCGAGCGGGAGTATAAGTACACGTGATGCTTGTGCTCGCTGACGTAGTGTAGCTGCAACTTGAGTTCGAACTTGCGAAACCATATAATCGGGTCCGTCTTCGTCGAATCGCAGAAGATCTCCTGATCATCGAACTTTGGAGTTGTCTCGTGTGGTTCCGATCTTGAGTGAGTGGCGGCAGTACAGATCCGCTGCTCCAACTATTGCGTGGCATTTTGCTGTAACTGCACGCCATCCTTGAGGGGTCCGACGTCAATCTCCAATGCCTCGAGGCGATCGAAGGTGTTGGAAGAGTTGGCAACGGGGGCAGCGACAGTTTGTTCCAGTTGCTGGAGGCGGCTGGTGAGTTGGTCAAACACCTGATTGTGTGTCTGAACCGCGTCATCGAGGTTGTGAATGTCCTCCTGCTGTGCAATGCACGTGGCCAGGAGGTCCGTGAGAWGGGAGAGGAGTAGAGCGATCTTGTTTCCACTCTCTTCCAGCTTCCCATTCTCAGCCTCAGCCCGCCAGTCCGCTGCCATTGTGAGCAAAGCTCGCTCTCCGCTAAATATCTTCTCGTGTCATTGAAGTCGTTCTTCATCGACAGCCTTTGCTGCTGCCTCGTCTTGTTGGCGCTGCTGTTTAATTGCCCACAGACGTGCCTTCTCGGCGTCCTCTGCCTTCTTCTTTGTTGCGGCTGCTACTGCATCCGGCCGTTGCTTGGCTTCGGTAATCAGAAGCAGCATCCGGGTCTGATAAATCTCGTCCGTTTCCCCGGACATCTTGTCCATGACGGCTGTTTGCTAGCGCGTAACCATAGACCAGGCCGGGGGCCTGCTGACGTGGTACTCCCTGCTGCTGATGTGGCACTACTGTTGGCTGACATGGCCTGCTGATGTTGCCAGCTGACGTGTCCTGCTGAAGTGTCCTGCTGACGTGTCCTGCTGACGTGGTCTGCTGACGTGTCCTGCCGACGTGGCCTGGTGACGTGGTCTGCTGATGTGGCAACTCACCAATGCCGCCGCAGGATGTACCCGGAGACAGATAGAGAAGGTAAGATCAGAGGGGGCAACAACGTAGGTGGGGAGTGGTGCGTGGGGATAAATCGCCCAGATAAGGAGCCACTAACAAAAAAAGAAAAGTTTGAAATTTGCAAAAAAAGAAATGGTAACCGCCCGGACGTCCGGACCGGGTTCCAGACAGTCCGGTGTCTGGTGTCCGGTGTCTGGACAATATGTCTGGATTGAGGCCTCTGGGGCAAAAAAAAAAAAAAAAAGTTGGGGCAGCCCAGGACGTTTATCGGGTCCTGGCCGCCCCTAGAAAAATAACGGGTTGATTTTTCGATGTCGTTTCACCCCACCGGACAGGGCCTAGAGGTCCAGACACAAGACACTGCAGGTTTTTGGGGTGGCGGGTTTCGCACAGGCCCGAGCAATTTCAAAGCGGCCTTTTCGATGTGGAGCCAGCTGCTGCTGCCCGTTGGGGGGGGGG